TTACCAGAAAACAAAGTTCATCATCAAGCCATTTCACAAATTCCACGACATCTTCGATGTTCTGATAAACTGCATTATTCACCTCCCGTATTAGTGAGTTCACAAATTCCCCTTGAGTTTCTACATCTGCCTTTATCTATCCAAAAAGAAACAGAAGGTCAAACTGTCGAAACTAAAGAAGAGAAAAAAATAAGAAAATATTTAGGGGAGAGGAGAAGAAAAACAGATTAGTATAGATCTAAATACAGCATACTGTAGCTAAAAGAAACGAGGTGGATTCTTGTCGAAGATGAATTCACATAAAAACATTTGTTTATGCTCCCTTTGATAATTGAGATTCCAGGAAAAATAAACAGATAAGGGGAGAACACTTCAGATTACAAGTTAGTAGCAGCAGGAAATGAAGATTTGAAAACGTAAACCTTTTAGTTTCTCTTCTTGGTACTTAGACACTAAACCTGAAAAACCTATGATGATATATCTAACTAATAAACTAAGCTTTAAGTATGTAAAAGAAAGAGAAAATGGCATATTGGCATAGGAAGAGAAAATGGGCAGGCACTTACTGCAAGCAAATGTGATGATCGGTTTTCGATTTCACCAATCATGCTGCTACGAACATTTGCAACATCTGGAGCATCAGAGATTCCTCCATTTGAAGAGTCCTTTCTAGAATCCCTCTTCATGAGTGAATGATAAAACTCAACCACCTGCGGAGCTCTTTGCATCACTCCTGTGCTAGTACTAGCTGAGAACTTGGGAGGTGGTGGAGGTGGAGGTGGAGGTGGAGGTGGTGGAGGAATCTGAGATGAAACTTCCTGCTTAGGTCCGGTAGAATTGAAATACGAAGGCCTGGGAGGAGGGTTTGGAATACGCAAGGCTCTTTTCTCAACATCCAAAGAAGCTAAAGCTTTATTGGTTTCTTGACAATTCCCATTGAGATGAGCTCTTTGAACAGCACCCAGATCATATTTTTGAGAAACCGATGCTTCTGATTCTTTTTCCATCTCTTTTGTATTCATAAACACATCAGATTGCCTTCTTTTGTTCTGTGTCAACTCATCAATGCAGCACTTTGATCCACTTATGGAGTGTCTTCTAGGACTTCTTGCTTCCTCCAAATGAACCCAGTTTTTGTCCAAAAAATCATCTGGGTGCTCTACATTGGACAAATCCTCACTAGTAATAGGCCATTTCTTTAACTTTTTAATTAGCTTCACTCTATTTGATCCGCTGTATTCTAAGAATTCATCCCTTTGATAAGGCAGTGAATGAACAGATTCACCATTTTTCTCAGCTGGATTAGGACTCGATACCTTATCAGAATTAAAACTCGAGCATGAACTACGAAGCTCATCGCGTAGACATGAATTAACCCATCTAAGATATGCAAGCTCCTCAACCTCATTTAACCTGCTCATTTGTAAACCCTCAACTTGTTTACACAGGTCTTCATTTGTGAGTCTTAGCATAGAAGCCTCAGCTTTGATCTTTGCTATAATCTCACTCTGGTAATAGCCAGGAAACAAGACAATAGAAAAAGGGTAAAGATAAACTCTGCTCAAAGAAATTCGAAGCTTTCACTTAATCACTCAACTATGTAAACTGACAGATCATAATAAGAAAACAGTGGACTAATCCAGGAATGTAAAGCTCCAATCTTTTTCAGAAAATTAAAACAGTACAATTTACTAGAATTTGATTGGTCAGTTTATCAATTATCAAATAGTTTAAAAAGTTCAAAAGTACCTCATTAACTTTGGCAAGGGAAGTTAATTGAGACTCCAAAGAAGAAAGCTTGCATGATAGATTCCTCTTCTCCATCTGCAACTCCTTGTTCAGCCTTCTCAATTCCAAAACTTCCATGTCACTTGCAGGCACCTCCTCTTTGCTTTCCGTGATGGAACCCAAGGCACCCAACTGCTCAGATAAAGCAGTCTTCTCTCTCTCCAACAATTTAACTCTTTCCACAAGTTCATCCACCTCATTTTTCTTCACCTCCAGGTTCCTTTCAAGATCCAACGTCATAGAATTCCTTTTCAATTCTGATATCTCTGCCTGCAACTTAGACTCCCTCTCTTTTGAATCTTGAAGCAAGCTCCTAAGGTGGTCCAATTCAATAAACAGGTCTCTTGACCCGGAGGAATGTCTCCGGTGAGTTGGGTAACCTTGTGGATGGACTTGGGAGACATTGGCTGAGCAGGATAAATCTCCCATAAGAGATCTTTTGACCCGAGATTGAGAAGAAATCTTCTGGTTAGCAATGTCGGAGTTTGTGAGAGGCGGCTTCTTAGCTGGGACTGTTGCTTGGGGCTTGGTTTTCTTGTCTGCCGTGAAACCTTTGACGATGTTTGATCCCCATGAAGACTTAGGTTTCAGAAGATTCCCACCACCGCTCTTAGTATTTTGAGCTTTTGGCGGCTGATTTTGATCAGAAAATTTGGAAGCTTTAACTCTACTTTCTGTTGGGTGTTCTTCTCTCATCTTCAACCCAAATTCTAACTTGCACTATTTAAGAAACTACACTCCAAAAATATGAATTTTCAAATTATGAAGCTTTCTGTTAACAGAAACCCGTAAGATTTCAGAAGAAAAAAGTTACAAGAAAATTCATTTGGGTAGCTGAAATTGAAAAGCTCTCCGTCAACAAAAACATCAAAACTTTACAGGAAAACTCAAAGTGGGTTGCTCTTACTTCAGAATCTGGACCTGAAACTGAAGCTAACCTCCCAATAAAAATCCACGAAGATGAAAACTCGAAAAGGAAACTCAAATCAAGGTAGCTCCTAAACCAAAAATAAGAACTTGGGTCCTTTCTTTTTTGTTGAAACTCTTGAAACTTCTCTTGGCGAGACCAAATGGGGCCTGATCAATCTTGATGACCTTCCTTTTTTCTGCTCCCCGTTAAATCAAAAGTTGGGTTTGAAGATTTGAAATTTGAAGAAGGCGTGGATAGAAAGAGTGAAAAATTGTTTAGGAAAAGCTCCTGTCCCAAGATCATATGAGGAATTTGTGAGAAAAGTTGCAGGCTTTTTCTCTTTTGTTCATTGCTCGCCTATTTTTGAACTTTTGAAATTTGAATCTCTGTTTTGTTTATTATTGTTATTATCATTTTCCCTTCTTGGGATTCTTTCCATGGTGGGAAGAGTCCGAGGATGGAACTGCAACGGTCGTATTTCCTTTGTTAAGGATATTTTTGTAATTTTCTACGAACTTCTTTTTAAATTCTCTATTTTAATTCTTTTTTTTTAAAAAAAATTAAAAATAGGATAAAATTAGCAAAAGATTAATAAAAACTAAATTGAGAATTATTTTATTTGATTTTTTTATACCTTTCGAAACGATTTCACAACTCGTATAAATCGGAATATAAAATCCCGTGAATTAACGTAAAAATTAAATTAAAGAAACATTATAAACTATATTATATTATATTAATAAACATCTATAAACGAAGATACAGATAATATAATTTTAGTTTTATAGTACTCTCCGTTATATATCTATTTCAAAAATAACTAATCACATCAATGTAGAAGTAAATACTAATTTAAAGAATAAATATGTCTATTTGTCGTTTGAACAAATTCGTTAAATTTTAATATTATCATTCTTTCAAAAAATTACGAGTAAAAAATAATTCAGGTGAAATATATTTTATTCTGTATCTTTTAACGTGTCATCATCATAACTGAATAATTCATACAACATTATTTTCATAAAGTATCGTTGTCAAATTTTTTATAAGAAATAAATTACATGTTTCTCGAATATGTTGAATTATTAATTTTAGTCATACATATCCTTAATTTATCTTACGTATAACAAATATTTATACGTAATTTAAAGAAGTAATAGTTATTTATCATCAAAATTTACAACTCTTTCTATATAATCTAACATAGTAATATAGATATATATATATATATATAAATTATATCTCCAACGAAATTTCAATGGTAATTCGGTGCAAATTATCAATTTAACATTACAAAATCGTTCATTAAATGTTAAATTCTCCCGACTCACATCAAATTAAATAAGAATTTTTACACACCCGTTAATTAACATATTAAAAATTACAATTTAAAATAAAAAATTACTAAAATACGAAAATTTGAGAACTTAACATTGCTGATAAGATTCGCGTTCGTTGTTTTTTATAATACTGAATATTTAAACATAATAATTTTTTTAAATTATGTAATTTTAGTGTAAACTAAATTTTTATGATTTGTAGAAATATGATAAGAACTTGTGAATAGTTGAAGAATTTACTTAAAGTTATAGCAAATGATCTCCTTTTTTTTATGTTCTTCCCCTCTCCTTTTCTCTCATATTTAGGACTTTCTAGTTTTTTTTAAAACTGAACTCCCACATGTAAACATATTCATATGGTGGGTCACAAAAAAAGTTTAGTTATTTACATTGAATTCTATAAGTAAAGGTTAAATTTTGTGAATGATACTCGTAGATTCATTGTCAAATGATAAATAATTATTTTTTTTGTTGGGTGTTAAAACATGTGGATTATGCAAACCTTGGGTTTTTTACTGTTTTTTTTTATGTCGCAGACAGAATTGGGTAAGTATAAGAGATGGGGAATGAAATGTCTTTTGAGTTTCTGTGGAAATATCTTCAGACCTATTTCGCGCATGTAAAGCGACCGGCTTTCTCTCTTCTGGGTCAAGACTACTGCGAGCTGGGTGGTGATTGTAGTCCTTGCTAAGCCGTTTTTCGTTGGTAAAAAGTACTCGACCACTGGTATGTATATATATATATTTTCACGTATAGGATTGGTCCTTCATCATCAATTTGAATCCCAGCTGGGTTTATCGTGATGTAGTTTTACAGTAACGGGAGAGAAATGGAGTTTTTTGGGGTTAGTTTGTGACTTAATTTGACTGAGCCTTGGTACTCTTTGGGGTTGTAGATTGAAATGGTTGTGATAATTATGACAAATTCTTTCATGGGTGTATCTTGTTTCCATAGAAGTGGGATTTATGGTTCTAGTTATAATGGGAAACTAGTTTCATCTTGTGGGTTTTCAAATTCACAGAAACTTATATATCGAGTTGGTTGGAGCAGAATAAATGTTGAAAAGATAAGATTTTTGGATTTTAGGATGCTTACTGTTGGAGCTGTTAATGCCTTATCCAAGGGGGAGACTGATAATGTTCTATCTGGTGGTGGGATTCTTGAAAAAGAGTTTGAGTTTAGGCCAACTTTTGATGAGTATTTGAAGACTCTGGAATCAGTTAGAACAGGGCGGGAAAAGAAGCAAACCCATAGATCAGATAGAGACAAGGTGAAGCATGATTCTAGTGGAAGTGATGTGCTGGAAACACCGATTTTGGAAAGAGGTGAAAAAGATGTGAAATTGAGGGATTCAGGTGGATTTCCAAAGGGAAAAAAGATGTCTAAAGTTGGCAAACACCAAGTGAATGGGAATGACAAGGGAATCGCTGCTCGAGAAGGTAAAGTGAGACATGACTTTGACCATGAAGAGAGGGGCATTGGAGAATCAAGGAATCGCTTAAATAGAGAAAAAAGAGGCAGAGACGAAATAGTACCAATTATAGTGGGAGGACAGGCCATGAAAACGAAACATTCTAAGGACTCCAGGTTGGGTAAGAGTAAGAAGCTTCAAGATCCTCAAGAAGGCTCCGTGATATCATATAATGCTCATAGCAAAGGAAGTACCATTGACAAGAAAGGGGAGTTAGGTCGTAACAGAACTTCCACAGATATGTTGGGGAGGAAAGAGAAAAGCTTCAAAGGAGAAAACTTTGGTGTTACACTTTCAAAGGACCGTATCCAGGCTGAGAGAGATGCCGAGAAGAGAACTGTATCAAGTAGTCTAAGGTTAATTAGAAGCAGCAAAAAAGCATCCGGCAATGAAAATTATGGTAGTAGTTTGGAAATGGAAAGAGCCGCCTTTAAGAATTTTGAGGAACCTATTGATGTTGTGAACAAGCCAGGAGTTCCAAGGATAGAAATGGAGGAGAGAATTCAGAAGTTAGCCAAATGGTACGGACTTTATGCTGTCTTCTTAGTTTCTGATCAGTACTTTTTTTATATTTAAGAAACTATTTTTATATAAGATAATTGGACTCGCTTTTAGCTATTAGAATTATATCTAAGGTCTCTTTATCATTGGCTTTGAGGCCAATACTTTTTAGCATCCTATTAAATAGAGACATCTTACTGATGGTTTATGGAAGCAAAGTCTGGGAATTAAGATCTGAAATGTCTGGCTTTTGTTCTTTCACTTCCCCGGACATCTAATCTGTATAATTTAATAGACATTGGTTCTGTGGACTTTATAGGGTTTTTGACTTGTACTAGCTTTTTCTAAGAACGGCACATCCTTGGTGCGAATTCCTTGTTTCCTGAGTAAATGATGTGGTTTTCAGTTAACATATCCAGTTTGAGGGATATAAAATCCTATTTCTTAACATAATTATGGTCTTTGTTTGCAGTTTTTTTCATAAGAAGTTTTGGATCTATGTTAATCTGCACCTTGTTTGCATTTTCGAGTTTCATTGCTTGCTGTACTTATTATATTCTGTCTGATTCATGTTAAATCAGTTTGTTTTAATAGGTTGAATGGTGCAGACATTGATGTACCTGAATGGACCTTTTCTAAGACGATGCGAAGTGCAAAAATCAAATATACAGACCATACTATATTGAGGGTGATCCAGATACTTGGTAAACTCGGAAACTGGAGGCGAGTTCTACAAGTAATTGAGTGGCTTCAAATGCGTGAACGTTTCAAATCCCACAAGCTCAGGTAAGTTTTTATGTTCAACTTATGATGGATAGCATGTGTTGCAATGTAACTGATTTTCTGCATTAACTAATTAAGATGTGGAATAAGTAGTTTACTGAAAAAATCCACATGAGCTTCTCTGTAATTTGAAATATATGAAATTTTCGTTGAGCCTGGGGAAGGTAATTCCTTGAAAATGCTTCTTTGGAAGTTATCAATTTTTTTAACATTTTCATTTGCTTGTCCGGGACTGGATGGGCAAAAGCAGTGCTTGTTGGTTCTTAGTTTTTATAATATATGTTGTTGTACCAAAATCGATTATTTATTTAGTTCTCTCAGGAAATTGTCGTCATGATATGTTAGTTCCTTTGACTAAGTGTCCTCATTATGCTCTAGATACATTTACACGACTGCTCTTCATGTACTTGGGAAGGCAAGGAGACCTGTGGAAGCTCTCAATGTATTCCATGCGATGCAGGTAATGCACATTACATTCTAGGTATTTTCCTTGCTCTTTTATCGTGATTGCAGAGGAGGAAGAAGGAAGTTCCCAATAAAGTTTTCTATTTTTCATTCTTCAGCAACAAATGTCATCATATCCCGACTTGGTAGCCTATCATTCTATTGCCGTCACTCTTGGACAAGCAGGGCATATGAAGGAACTCTTTGATGTGATTGATAGCATGAAATCTCCACCTAAGAAGATGCTCAAAACAAGCGTACTTGTAAAGTGGGACCCTCGGTTAGAACCTGATATTGTTGTCTATAATGCGGTGAGTGGTTGCTGCTTATATCCTGTTTCTCTGTATAGTTGTCTGTATCAGCAATTCCAATTTCTATATCAAGACGGATATTGATGGCGAATGATAGAATCCCTCACTTTCAAAGTTAAATAATACTTTTGTTTTTGAGGCTGTGTGTGATATAATACCAAATCTGTGTGGAATTTGTTTGCAAGTCTATATTTATTTAAACTATAAGATTGTGAGCTTCCTATTGAAAATGAAAACATTTAAGGTCATGTGGAATTTCATGCAGAATTGGAGCAATACATTTTAAATTCTAACAATTTTGACGGAATTTGTACTGTATTTTTTTATTCCACTTGAAATTCTATTTGAATATAATTTTTTTTATTATCCTAATACAATTTATAAGCTCTCCTAGTTGAATTAATTGTGGATTTACAAATGACCACAACATGGAATTACATCAGTTCTGTTAGGCATCCAGACAAAGTGTACGGTAGAAGCTACAGTGATGAAAAATTGAAGAAGTTTATCTTTTATACTGTTTATTTTCTTGAGAAGGTCGTATTGTTTAATCTGTATGTTTGTTTGATTCAGTAATTTCTTTTAATAATTTGTATGCAGGTCCTAAATGCTTGTGTTCAGCGAAAACAGTGGGAGGGAGCATTTTGGGTTTTGCAGCAGTTAAAGCAACAAGGTCAACGACCTACAGCTTCAACATATGGACTTGTCATGGAGGTAATTTTTGCTTATAGTTTCTCAATTTCACCTGTGATTTTTATTATTGATTGATCATATCTAAACGTTTACTAAACTAGTGCATTTTTTATTTTTTACTCGGTACTCAAATTTTTCTTTTCTTTTATTCTTATAAACTGAGTGATAAGGCTCACAGATTATTAGATGATTATTAATTTTCTAACTCTCTTATGAATTTGCTCCAGCATATTTTTTTCAATACACATTTCGTTTCACTAGATTTCCAAAGAGATGAAATCTGTATTTTCGTTTTCATTGCATTAGATTGTTGTAGAATGGAGGAAAAATTCATACTGCAATTGGAACCTTAAAAAACATTGGCTTATCATTAAATCCCAGGGGTTTATGTATAACCAGAACATAACTGGGACCACTACATGCAATTGTGTGGAAATACATTCCAGTTTATAGTGGTAATTTGAAGCATTCATGAGTATTTACCTACTTCCTACCTTTTACAGACATATAGTTGGAGTACCTGTAGAAAGTTGTAGTCCAACAAATTTTTGTTTAATTACATATCAATTGTTTTCTTATGCAATTTCTGTGAGATTTGCAACCTTTAACGAGAAATTGTCAGCAACATTGCCATCTGGACATCATTCTATATTGCTGCATCTCCATGACTGCCCTTAGTGGCAATACCGATCTTTGTTTGCCTCCCAACTGCTTTCTTGTATTAGCTTTTGATAAAGAATGTATAATATGCATAAATAAGGTTAAACTAGATTAAAAGATATTAAAGTAAAATATACCCTTTTGTAATTAATTGTAGTTTTCCTTTTTTTATCCCGAGAACTTGTATATATAGGGACCTATTATTCAATGAGAATACAAAACATTTCATGACAGCTTTCTCTTTGCGACGTACATCCTCATCTTCGTAACTGCAACTCTGATCGTTACCTATGAATTTCATTTCACCATTTCCAGAGTGCAGTAGAAAGTATGCTTTCCATTTTACTCAATCTTTTGAACTACTTCAAACAATGGTATTTCCATATCATGCGAGGAAATACCGTGTTGATCATTCATAGTCACATATAACTTGTATGTGGCGTGAGAAATCTTATGGAATATGTAAAAGGTGCCAGTTATTTTGCATAAGTTAAGAGTCAAAGGGCTCTTTTAGTAAAATATCGCATCCTACAATCAGTTTGGGTGTTTCTTGAAATTTAAGCTTGTAAAAGTGTTGCTTTATGGGTCTCAGTTTGTGCCCGATGATGACCTGAAGAGCTCAATCATGACTTTGTCCTTTCCTTTTTTGGTTTGGGGGATTTCTGTTCTTTTTCAACTCACCGTGAACTAGTGGAAAGGAGAAAGATGAAACGTTATTGGTGGGCAAGTTGGAAATAAAATTGTGGCAACTCTTGTCTTTAGGCCTGTCACTGGGTGCTAGACTGGCACCTAAGAAACTTGGATTACTAACAGACCTGCACATTTTAAACTACTGAAGCCTTATGAAATATACGACTGAGCTGTTGTAGATTGTGCCAAACTCGTTTGCACAATGAATTTGATACCATAAAGCTGGCTGTTGTGCACCATCGAATATCTCTTCACTACATCTTCTCACTGATAAAATTTTTAGAATTCATTGAAAGATAAGGCAAAAAGTTTGTCGTTTCCTCAAGTGTACCTTTCAAATTTATGTGTTACAGTTTGAATCTTTTTCTACTTGACTAGGTGATGTTTGCATGCGGCAAGTACAACTTGGTTCATGAGTTTTTCAGGAAAGTGCAGAAATCCTCCATTCCAAATTCTCTGGCATATAGAGGTATTATGGGACATGTTTGCTTTGTCATGCTGTTTTATAAAATTTTATTCTGAGAATGATTTTATGTTATCAACAGTTCTTGTAAATACTCTTTGGAAGGAAGGTAAAATAGACGAAGCTGTATGGGCAGTTCAAGACATGGAACGACGTGGAATTGTGGGATCCGCTGCTCTTTATTATGACCTTGCTCGCTGTCTTTGTAGTGCAGGAAGATGCCAAGAAGGACTGATGCTGGTAATTTTTGTGAGCTTTATATGCTATTATTTTCTTTTTTAATTTATCTTTCTTTTCACCTTCTAGTTTATTTGAGCATGGCATACCAGATGATCAATGCAACTATTAGGATAAACATAATAAAGTAGGATATTTGTCTGTCAATTTAATCTTTTAAAATATTTTTCTAGCTCTGACCGTGACCTTATTATTACTCAAATTAAATCAGCTTTAATTGTAAACTTTTAAGTCTGGCGCGAGTTTCTTTTCCTTCCACCCAACGATCTGAGGTTGATGATTTTTTTGTCCGAGTCAAATTCTTCCTTCCTACTTCTAGATATGTAAGCTTGGCCTATCTCTCTTGGTGCCTTTTAATCTTATCTTCTTCTTTATTTTTCTCGCAAAAAGTGAAGCAAAGAAGAAATAAAAGGGAAAAAGAACTTGGCCTATCTCTACATTTTTCCCATTTTGGTGTTCTTATCAAATCACTTCTTCTCATCATAGCACATATACTGGCAAGAACCACTTCCACAGATCTTGCAACTTCTCTCCAGTTGGTTGTACCCTTCTCTTTTGAAGTTTGTTTAGTGGAATTCATTTGAAGTTTGTGGTTTTAATACTTTTTTCAAACATGAAAACATAATTATTCAGTTCAAAGAATTCTAATGGGAGTATTTGAAATTCAGATTTCTAGTTTGACTAGAACTAAATGGAATTTAGAAATGAAATATGATGGTTTGAAAGATAAACTGGTCCTTTTGGTGATTCCTGTCTTCATAAAATTATTTAGAATGTGTTGCGGAAATGATTTCTCAAAACTAAGATTTCTAGATGAATTCGACAAAACTAATTCAATAGTCCCAAACATATTCTAGAGTGGTGTGATTCGATTTATTGAATTACTGCATATCCATCTCAAAATTCTTACTCTATACATGCTCATCTTATGCATCTGTTGGTTTCTGGCTACTCTTAACACTCTTGATTTGGCGAAGTTCAAAATATTTTGCGAGTAACAGAAGGATTGGGTTCTTTTAGAAGTCTTTAATTCTCAGGCAAGATGAAGTCAAGCAACTAATGGAATGAAAGTGAGGTAGTTATATGATGCTAACGATTTTGACTTGATTCGGAATAGATAGTTCCAGATACTCGGATTTTTGTTGTTGAGTCATATTCTTTACTCTATGGAGGATTTAAAGGACTTCCTTGATATTTTGGTAGATATCTAAATAATTTGTATACGAATTGGCACCCTTTTGGTACCGGTTATTAATGATATTTTTCGTACTTTATATTTAAAATAAAAAAAAAAAGTGAGGTAGCTAACTGATTTCACATCTCACTGGGCTTTTTTTTTTCATAGA